CCGACACTGAGGTCAGTTGTAATAGAAGTGCCTGCTTAATTGCTGGCAATCCCTGGGAGTAAGACGAACAGGGCATCCAATGCAGTTCTCCTCTCTGAGTCTTCTCCCAAATGGGGGAGTCTGGGGCCAAGCCTTTCAGAATCTGGCTCTCTTGCTTCTCACAGATCTCCCCTATGTATTCATTGTTCTAGTTGGACTTGGCCATCTCTCTCGGGAATTACCATCCCTGACTTTGACAACATCGCTTCTGACATTTAGCCAACCTGAGATTTATTTCTCTTCCCCATGTATCCAATTATACTCAGTCTATAAGGCCCAGATCCATTCCCACCTCATTCATGAGATCCAGCCAAAACCATCCCATACAACTCCCTCATTCCCCGCCCCCCAACACCATTTGTAGGTCACTACCTCTTATTGATTGCTAACGTCAAGCTCCATGATGCAAGGATCCTGGATTATTTTTCTTTGCAAACTTAAAAGCATGTGGATAGATAAATTTCATAACAGGACATATTCTCTAAGGCCCACAGAACTCCAGAATGGTTTAAAAATGGAAGAAAAAATTAAAGATGGGAAGTGAGCTATCAGAGAAATCCATTCCTAAGAACTTAGAAACTTTTCATTTGCCATGACTGATTCCAGCTTCCAAATTCAATCCTGACCCTCCTTCAAATCTCTATCCCCCCAAAACCTCCCAGTCCCTACTCTGTACTACAGATGCTACTGTCAGTAGAAGCACCCCATTTTCTCAGGTAGATCCTTGCTTGAGAGGATACTGACTCACATACCAAATGTTGGGGATAGAATAAAATAATAAGGTTAAAACATATTTAATCCTACTCTTCAAGATGTACCTGTTTTAAGCATTTTACATGTATTAACTCAGTTAACCTTATAGCAATCCCATGATATAAGCAGTACCCTAGTAGTACCCTTCCCTCCAATTTTACAAATTAGTAGACTTAGGTTAGTTACAAGTTCTTGCTATCCTTCCATGAAGAAGTGAAGTTTATGTTTCCTTTCTCTAAAACTTCAAAACCTGGAAAAACTTTCTCTAGGAGCTCTGAACCTCCATGAACTAGGAACTACAGAGACAGGTACATGGATCCAGCTGAATCACCAAGACACAAGGTGTGTGAATAAAGCCAGACTTTCTGGACCAGAGCAGCTGCTGAGTGACCTCAGTCAACTCCCTGTGGGGCAGAAGAATTGCCTTGCTGAGCCCTGCCCAAATTTCTGAGCTACAGAATTGTGAGATCCAATGACACAGTTGTAATTTTAAGCCACTAAGTAATGGGGAAATTTTTTTCATAACAATAGTTAGCTGGAACATATGTGACTTCCTCAGAGTCTCCCAGCTAGTATGAAGAAGATCTAGGTTTTAATGCCAAGCAGCCCAACTCCAAGTATATGCATTTAATCACTGCTCTAGGCTTACCACTGAAGAAAAATTAAATTGTCCAAAGTGTCCCTCATTCTGGAGGGAAAACCATCTGTAAGCCATGCCACTTCTGGTTGTTAGATGATGATAAGGTATGTTATAAAGCCTATTTTGTTTTCTAATCTATTCAATAAATATTTATTGAGCCCCTACCTTTACTTGAATACTACCACTCACCCACCTGCTTTCTCAATGTACTCACCTGTTTTCTCAATTTTTTTTTTTTTTTAATATTCAGGGGAGGACCTAGACACAATCTTCTTTTTTTTTTTTTAAGAATTATTTATTTTAGAGGGAAAGTGTGCATGAGTAGGGAGGGGGAGGGGCACAAGGAGAGGAGAAAGGGGAAGCAGACTCCCCACTAAGAGGGGAGCATGACACAGGGCTCCATTGCAGGACCCTGAGATTATGACATGAGCTAAAACCAAGAGTCAGATGCTTAAATGACTGAGCCACCCAGGTGCCCTTGGACACACTCTTCATAATATAGGGTAAAGACCTGATGCTTGGGTACCATGGCTGTGAGTAATTTACACAGTCCCTGTGATCCACAAGAAGTACTGTAACAAACTGGAGTATCAGAAAGATCAAAGTAGTGATTACTTAAAGAAGGCTGGAGCATTGGAGGGCCATGTCAACTCAAAAACTATTAGTTTATGTTCACAGGTCAGAGGAGCACTGAAAACACTTTGCAGTTTTCCTTTGATCCGAAGTCAACACAAACCAAAGTCAATCAGAAACGAACTACCAAATGTTTCCTTAGCTTGTGCTTCAAGAAGAAACCAGTGAATTGTTGTATAACCAGATGGTTTTACACCAAGGTTTTTATGCCTATTTTATTTCTCCTGGAAGAGTCTAATTTTAGGACAACCTGGTCTATCAAGCCTATCAAAGCAAAGGAATCACCTTTCAAAGCAAAGAGTGTCACCTGGAAAATGCTGTCAGATTTCACACATGATTGGCTGGGTAAATGTGAAATCCAGCCTTCCCCACTTCTTTTTTCAAATTTTTTATGAGTCCCCTTCACCTGAGAATGGTAGCTGGATTACAGAGGACAAAAGAGAACTTCTGAGACTGACTTCCTCACCGAGTCATCAGAGCCTGAGAATTTTCCTAAATCTTGGGTCCCCAGTCTTAACACAGGCTTGATATAATCTGTACTTGAGATCAGAAAAGGGATAAGAGACAAGGCAGGCTGCTGAGATTTTATGGAGCTCAGGGCAAAGTTCTATCTATCTATCTATCTATCTATCTATCTACTTATTTATTTATATATACTTTCAAGTTTTTTATTTTATGGAGCCCAGGGCAAAGACTGATTGATTGATTGATTGATTTATGCTTTTAAGTTTTTATTTAGGCCCTAGTTAGTTAACATGCAGTGTAATATTAGTTTCAGGAGTAGAATTTAGTGATTCTTCACTTCTATATAATACCCAGTGCTCATTAGAATATGTGCCAGGGCAAAGTTCTTATGGCTAGTTGGCAAGGACAAAAAAATCGAAAATCCTTGGCATAAAGTAATTTCCTCTAGCTAATCTTTACAGAGAATATGGAGCTTTTTGATCCCTCATCCCAGTCTAATCCAATTCTGCTAGACTGTTGTCTTTTCTCTAAGAGTTTGCATTTACACTTCCTTAAGAACAAGTATGGCACAGATTTATAACTTCTCTTTATAGTCATGGTAGAAGCAAAGTGAAAGATATGTAGATGAAATCCAGTTATCACTGGACTCAGGGAAAGAAACTCTAACAGGAGTCTGTTAGAGAGGGCATGCTCCAGCCATCCACGTCTTCCAAAATGACAATAGATTCTACAATGTCTGGAGTCATAATCACTTGCAGGACTTTTGTGCCTTGTACCCTGCTCTCCTGTGGAAGTTCTGGCTTTCTTCATTCTTAGAAAGACTCATCCAGTGTTGGGTAAGTCTAGTTGCATATTTGCTACAGGAGGAAAAGCCAAAAACCGATAATTGTCAGGGCTTAGTCCCTGAATCCCTATATAACATTAAATCCTCCTGAGGTCAGTAAAGATTTGGCCTCGAAAAAGACTACAGGACCAGCCACTCCTATGAAGAAAAAGCCGTTTGTTCCCACAGAGTTAGCGAAATATATTATGACAGAAACAGAACAATGCCAGGACCTGGGCAGACACAACTATCCTTTCACCAACCAGAAACAGATCCGCTCTTGAGCTATAGAGAGTCATAATGGAAATATATATTGCCTTTTATCTTCTTTTCAGTGAGTAGAGTGAAGTGTCAGGAGTTATTGCTTGAATATCAGTAGAGAAGAAGCTATTTCCTTTTTGAGCATGTACGTAGGTATACACGTAACAGCGCGTACAACAATATGACTGTTATGCTAACCCGGTTCTTAGTAGCCTTTCTAAAACACATAAAATTGGCCAGATAATATCATCAGTGCATACAGCCTCAAATTGTTCCCCTGGAATCACGTAAGGAGCTGTCAGGGTAACTTCTGCTCAAAGAAAAGGGAAAAGGAAGACATTTTTACCTCTACTTAGCTCCCATAAACTTAATGCAGAAGAATGAGAACACATAGGGGTCTTAATGGATTATTGACTTTACGTTTACAATGCCCACTGAAATCAAGGGGAGGGTGATGTCAAAGACTCAACTGAGCCCCTGGATAATGTCTTAAAACTAAGAAACAGAAGGGACAAGTACTGATCTACAGAATCTTCTATAAACACTAACTAGGCTTGGGGTAATTTCCCCACAAGCAATTGGAATGTCTTATTTTATGCCACAGCATTTAAGGCTAATAACTCGATTAACCTCCTATCCCCTACTAACCAGATTTATGAAATACCAAGGGAGTCAGCAAAGCATTAAGTCTTAGCTTGGGTATAATTACTTTTAAGTGAAAAAACCAAACCATTACCACAAAACTAAGGACTTCCTACATAGCTAAACTCAGACCTTCATAATTTCTAATGCAATATAGGACCTCAGTCAAATATAAAAGAAATGAAATAGACAAAAAATAACAAGTGATTGATCAACAGTAATAAAACAAAGACTGCATTATATAAGCATTAGTTGAACCTCTAGCTTCAATTGCGCCTTTTTTAATGCTGTCCATTGGTCTCAAAACGGAACAATTCATATTTCAGCAAAGCCACTGAGAGGTTGTGAATAGAACTGAACTACAATACAGTCTCTCCTATGATAACAAATTTTCCTTTGCCCCTTTTCCCTTTTTACTATTGAAAAGAAAAGTAATGAAATGAAAAGGAGGAGTATTTCATGCTGAAAGTGTTAGCCATTGTTCATTTTGAATAACAGCTTTACTGTTTCAGCCATAAATATGATAGGAATAATAACCCATGAGTGCACGCAAAACTTTTATAACTTCTTGAGCAGTGAATTTGTCTTTCTCTACTCCAAGATCTTACTACGATGAGCATCTGTAGGCATCCTTCCTACAAACATAGTAATTCAGACTCTTGAGCAACATAGCAACAGTGACCTTATAGTAATGTCTCAAAGACAAAAAAGCAGAATCAATTAGGAATTGGGAGAAAGGCTTACCTGAATGCTTGCTGTCGAGCGATTTTTGCGGGTTGTGGTAGTAGCCATTGTAGTGGTGGTTTCCATGACAGTGGTAGACATTTCTGGTGGCATGGAGGTTGTCTGTGTTGTACCCAAGATTGACGGGACTTCTCCCACCAGCCGGACGCTTCCATTGATTTTAATATTGGGGTTGTTCTCAGCTGCCATGTTCAGTACTTTCAAACCATCATAATAGAGCCCAGAGAGCTGGCCTTGGAAGAGACGTCCTTTGTCTTTCCCACCAATGGCTATTTGCGCCTGGGTGTTGAAGATGGTTAACTGCCGGCCTAGTGGGTTGGGTGGAGGAAACATTATTATTCCCATATGTTATCTTTCTTTGCCTTACCTGGTCTGAATGGACCAGGCATCAAAACAGGCTTCCTTGAGCAAATGAAGGGGAGAAAACTGGATAACAAAAATTCAATAGACGTTAGCAAGTAACATTCCACTATGTTTTATCTCTTCCACTGTCTAGCGGAATATCCTAGATTAGCTGAATAATTGAGTCTCTATTTCATTACTGTGAGGAAAGAGAAATCTTGGTTCAATGATCTGCAGTACTTCAGTCTTCTTGGATATACAGTTGTGGATGACAGAAGTAACCCCCCAATCAGGTAATGACAGCAGTAAAGCCTAAATACCTACTGCACTGATTTTCAACCTACAAAGGCACATAATGGCAATTAAATAGAATTTTATATGACAAACAATTACTCGGTAAGGTAACTCAGAATATTAAATTTTAAAAATAGGTCTGATAATTAACTGAAATTAAATGAAATTCCAATTAAAAGACTTGGATTCATCACATCTGTGTAGAAATGAAGTTTACCCACCAAATACCTCATTTCCTAGAAATCTTCGTAATACATAAATTCTATCTATACTTGTTGTTTAATAAACATCGTGACAGATAATTTCCTACCTCTTTTAATGTGGGGGAGGGATGGGATGATGGCCATACAACTATATCTCTCCCTAAAACATGGGAAATAAACAAGCACTAATAATTTTTCTGGGGTGGCGGAAAGAAAAAAAAAATGTCATTCCAAATCAGTGAATTTAAAAAAAGGAGATAGGTTTTCATGAAAAAGCAACACATAAAATTCCTTAAAACAATAGGCATGTTAATGTGTTGAAAACTATCAGTAGTTAACTTATTTGGAGTCCGCATTTGGGGAACCATTTGTGCGTCTGTGAATAGAAAACTATCAGAATGAAATCATGGCAGAACAGAGTTTAGAATAGTGCAACTCAATTTATCTTCCTCCCAACTAACCCTACTTTAAAAAGCTTCTCTTAAGTGCTAGATCCTTCCCAGAAAAACTCAAACAGCTTTCTAAGGCTAAGACATTCTATGCTATTATTTCTTCAGATTATTTCCTTCTGGTTTTCCATATGGAGATGGGGGAGAAACTTATTAATGGAATTAAATATATCCTTTTTGAATTTTTCTTCACTTAAGTCAGTAATCAAACAATATTCCACTTATTTTTAATTTAATCACTTGAATTATTTTAGCAATAAATGGCTGGAATGTTTTGTTATTCCTGCCTGCTTATTAAAGGGACTCTATTTTTAAAAGGCTAAGGTTTTTTGCCCCCACAATCTCCAATATGAATAGAGGCATACAGTGATGTTTGGGCTCTTAACCTCTACCACCATTACAGGTCTTTAAATCTCTACAATGATTAGCTATCCTTGAGTTTCCAGTGTATAATGTGGAATGCCTTCTGAATGTACATTAATAGGTGAAATGGAAGAGTCAGAGAAGGGGAAATGTATCTGCTCAGAAGGAACTCTTTATACAAGAGTCAGTTCTGCTTAGGGGGTAAGACTTAAGGGCATATTAGTCAAGAATTATTTATGAATAATACCTTTTTGGAAGCTTCAAACACTGTAGTAGAGAACTGGCCAAAGAGTTTTGTTATACTGAAAATGATCTGCACTCTATAAAAATATTTGGAACATGGAAATGGAATCTGTTGGATTTGATAACAATTGTCCAGCTCCTAAGGGAACAATCAAAATAGATCTAATAGATTTCCATTATTTTCCCACCAATTCCTTCACTGCCCTGTACACATGCATCATCGCCAGTCCGTTGGCCTCTCATTTCTCACGTAAGATGCAGCAAAATGTTCAATGCACAATAACACTGGATAATGGCCTGGAGCTCAACGCTCTTTACTGCTATTTCTTTGACAACATTTTTTTTCTAGAGGGAATAAGTTTACTGCAAAAGAAATGTAATGATAGAAGGAGAGGATAATACACCCTCAACCTTGCACAGACTTCTGTGGGCCACTTAATAAAGAAAGAGCTGCATAGAAGGATATCTCTAGGACTCAGTCTAGCAGCTTATACCTCATAGCCCCAATGTCAAGCTATCCCTTCCATTCACATAACTGTTGGCCAACCATAATATTTATTCATCTCCTTTTTGGTATATGCTCTAGCACTGATGATCAGTGAATAGGGATAGCTAGTTATAGGTAAGATATCTTATATTTCTCATATTTCTGAAAGTATTTCACATCTGTAATGGTCTTCACCTTATTTTCCTAGTGATATTACTCTGCCAGTTATTACAAATAAAAAAGAGGGTCAGGGAGAATTGAAATGCTAAGTTGAATTACACTGGCTAGAAATGATGGATTTCCTTCATTCCAGGTGCCACAGTGCACTTCATAAAATGGTCTTTGCTTGTTCAAGACTAATCCAAGCATGGAGAAGGGCAAGACATGTTCCCTGGGCTGCAGGACAAAGCCACTGCTCCGCGTCTGGTTATTGCTGCAGTCCCAGAGAGATCTAATGATTTCTTGAGAACAAGACACTGGTGGGGTGAAACAGGGAAGGAAGTTGTCTATGCTTCAATTTTCCATGATGCTATAGGAAGTGTCTGGATATTTGTTTGCTTCTCTGTTTCAAGGTCTATTTGTGGCTAGATCTATTTTTCTTCTATTTCAGGAATCTTTCCTAGCCTTCTGTACCTTGGATTAGGTAGTTTAAGAGTAAAGCTGGCAGCCACTAAAGTAATAGTGGGGAACTCTATTTCTAGTTTTTTGTTTTTTTTTTCTCAGTTTCTATTGGGAAACTGAGAAACTTTCTCAGTCTCTGCCAGCTCTTCCTCTGATCAATTTAGCTCTATCAGAGAAGCAGGAGTAAGTGAATAACTGAGAATTGGTCATCACTACCCTTTCCCTCTGAAGGGTTATTATAAGGAACAGACTGGAGTAAGTTTTATCATTTGCCCAAGATTTCTCAAAATCAATGTCAGATCTCATTATTGTTATTCATTATGATCTATCTTTTTTTATAATAAGCAACTATGATATCTATATCAATATCCCAATCTAAGAATCGTTCTATCATTCATAATGCTCAATTTGGTTATACTAGTAGAGGGTCTGTAGCAGGCTACTTTCTGTTTTGTTTTGGGTGCCCCCCTTCTTGGAAGTCATTACTGTTACTTCATTTGGATATCAAGTTCACATACTGCTTAAATTAAATCTTTGCACGTCTCCAGTCAGTGTTGCACAAAGACTAATTAATTAAACCTCAGAACACCCTTGGGGAATAGGCAGTATTAGTTCTCCTCTCCTCCAATGGGAAATCTGAGATATAAAGAGGTTAAGTGGATTGTCTAAGGTCAAAAAGTATCAGTCAATAGTAGACAGAGCCAGAAAACAGACTCAGGAATGCTGTGACCCAGATCTCTTCTCCAATGACAAAAATAACTCCAAGGAGGCATTCCAAGTGCTTCCTGACATGTCTGCTTATTCATCCTTCCATCTTTACCCTTTTTTAACTTGTTGTCTTTACAAGGTCTTTTGGTATCTATTTTCTACTCCTTTTGAGGGGAAGGTTTGCTAGACAGAGGAAGGGGTAAAGCAATAGAATGAATAGATGTTACTCACCAAAGTTTTTTTTTTTTTTTTTTTTTTTTTTAAGTAACTTCAGTTACAATAGTGTAGAAGAGAGAACCTCCAAGTTTGGAAATAACCATTTTCAATATTATACACATACATAAATACATATCTCGTTAAGAAACTAGCAAGCCGTCCTCCATACCCCCCGACCCATCCCTCCCCTTCGATTTGTTGTCTACTTGAAAGCGTCCTTCTATAAGAAAGCCAACTGATAACAGTGCTATCAGAAGGAAAACTAAAAGCCTACCCATAACTTTATAATGGTTGATACAAATGAAAACGCCTGGCATGCTCTTAAACTTAGACTTCAAAAAGGCGATGGAGTAAAAGAAAATATTATTAACATAAAATTGAAAGAAAAAAAAGTTCTCTCGGACACATGAGAGTCAGACATGCATCTAGTTTTCTTCTCCTTTTTAAAAAGTGAGGCAATCATAGTCTTTAGTGTTAAAGGGACTTTATGAGCTGGTGATTACTGAACAAAATTATTTGCTTTTTAGAGTTATTCTTAATTTATTTTTAATTAGACCACATACGTTAAAAACAGGGCAAACAGTTAAGACTCAGTGAGGATTTTCCGTGTTTAAGGGTCTAAATGTTGTCACCCAACTTAAAACTGTAATTAAGTTTGCTTAAGTTGCATATTAACATATTCAATTACTTTTTATGTATAACTCAGTCAAATCTCTATGAATTTTAGGAACTCGCTGGATGTCTTGAGACAAGAGTAGCTTGTACTGGCTCAGGAAAGAAGGGAATAAAGAGCTTCCAGAAACAGAGAATTTTCTCCATTGAAAGATAATAGTTTACACCCTAGGGAACTGAAGCCACACAGAAAATTCTAACATCGGGTATAACCGCTGCCCTCTTTTATTAACAAAGTGGTTGTTTTCTTCAGCAAATCAGAACTGCTGTTTTGCCTTTCATGAGCCTTTCTTTTCCAACTCATTGTCTTAGCCACTTGCACTTTTGTTGCATAAATATCAAACACATAAGGGTATTACACAACCAAAGTGTAAAATAAGCTTTTTTTTTTTTTTTTTTTTTTAGTTTCAGCCAGCAACTAGGACACAATTAACCTCTTATGAAACACTTTTGCCTCTGAAGTTTGAATCTAAAGGCAAAATTCATCTTTCTCATTCTTTCTTCATTTAAAAGCAAATGTTAGAAAACACTGCTCCCCTTATAACATTTGTCTTAAGCAGATTAAGTTACAAGAGTTGATCTGATGATTCTTTTTGTTATTCACGCTAGAGAGGTAAAGCCAAAACAGCTTCAAGATGTAAGTTTAAAGAGTACTTTTGAAATTTCTTTAGAAAGCTTTGGTATAAGAGGTAATTTAAAACAAATTAACAAATAATGTCATGCAGTGGTTAAATTGCCATAATACATTTCTTTTTTAGAGGTTCCTGGAATTTCTTGTTTGTGGTTGTCATGCTGATAGCAAGCTAGATGTTAGTCCCTTTAACTGTATTTTAATGGCAATGTATTATAGCATGATTTATCAACATATGGCAGGTGGAAGCTGACACAAATTATAATGAAAATTAAAACAGTCATTTATGCAGCAGGCGATTATCATTTAAGGAACATTTATTTGCAGGCTTTAAAAATGAGGGTTTAGAATCAAATGATTTTAAAATGAAAGTTTTAACGACGGTTACCTTTTTCCTGCAGCCACTCCTCTACGGGCCGGTTATATTTGAAGGGGATTTTCTGTTTTACCATTTGGAAGCGTTCATTATCAGTGTTGCCTTTAAAGTTTAAAAAACAGCTTAAAAAACAATCTGAAAAGTCAATATGTCATTAAAAAACATCCTAGGTTTTTGGTTTATGAAGTTTTTAGAGATAGATATCAATTTATCTTTAGTAGAGGTGGAGTTGAAGTCACTCTGCCCTTGGTTGACAGGTTTGAGGTCAGGCGAGTCCTGGCTATGCTGTGTTCCACCACGTTTTGGAAATGTGGAATGGGATGGGAATCAGTAAGAGCTTTGGCCATTTAGAGAAACGGGTTTACCTTCACTCTTCTCTATCTGACTCCAACCACGCCTTAATTGGGTCAATGGATGCACAAGGATTTTCTTGGTCTGTGAGTAATTTACCTGCCAGACCAGCTTCATCTAGAATAGCCCCCCCCCAACCCCATGTCTTAGTCCCGCATGATCTTCTCTCATGGTAATGTACCATATCAGAAGCATGGGGTTATCTACTTCCTTATTCTTCTCTCAAGTGTTTATAACTGCTCTACCTTCTGGTGGAGGGAAAAAGACAACTTAAGCCTTGAATGGCCAAGGGAGACTTCTTACTCCATAAAGGAGACTCTGGCATCCTACCAGCTATGTTAAATAGATGGGGTTTTATGGATGGTTCTTTACATTTCTATTCCTCTGCCCAGACTTATTCTACACTTAAAAAAAAGAAAACCCAAAGTAAATATTTGTAAATCAAAGCAGCTATAAATATAGGGATAGAATATTAGCAAACTTTTAAGCCCCTACTTTTTATTACTACCAAGAGATGCAAGCATTATATGGTTATCTAGTCTCTCTCTTACGTTTTTATGAGAAGTCTTTTCTGAACAAGTATCTATTAATAAAGCCTGTTTGGGATAACGTCCTCCAAGCATGAAATACCTAATTAGTTTCAAGCCTCAAACACAATGCTTTTAACTGCTACTATGCCCCCTTATTCCTTTTGTAACTGTTGTTACCACCCCTGGATGGTTTGTCTAATTAGGATAGATTTGGAGGTGTTATTGTGGAGATATACCCCTAATGAATATGCTTCAAATCACAAAATAATGAAGCTATGCTTTGGGAACTGTTCTCTCTCATCAACCAACCTCACAGTGATCAAGCAAAAACTAGCAAATTCTAATTCATGACTTTTCACTCATAGCCATATATTGGAACTTAGGGAATCCCATTTCAAATTGCCAACATTAAAAATGAAACCATGTTGCTACAAAAGTTGGGTATTCATCATTCATCCTTTCTGATGGAGGCATAATACTCATTTGTGGAGCATAACAAATAACATGGAGGACATGGGGAGATGGAGAGGAGAAGGGAGTTGAGGGAAATTGGAAGGGGAGGTGAACCATGAGAGACTATGGACTCTGAAAAACAGCCTGAGGGCTCTGAAGGGGCAGGGGGTGGGAGGTTGGGGAAGCCAGGTGGTGGGTATTAAGGAGGGCACGTATTGCATGGAGCACTCGGTGTGGTGCAAAAACAATGAATACTATTACGCTGAAAAGATAAAAAAATAAATAAATAAAATTAAAAAAAAAAAAAGAAAGAAACCAAAATCTCAAAACAAGTGTCTTGGAAATCATTTACAAAGAAGTCTTAAAGCCAGAAAGAATGTGAAGAGCCACATGAGTCGAAGGTGACTATGACATTTCCATCTTAGGGCCACCTTCCTACAGGACTTATTCCTGACAGAGAAGATTCCACATGTGGCTAAACTGGTACCTGCTTTCCATGAGGTGCAACATGGGAAAGGGGTGGCCATGCTGGGAGATGTTTCCAAGATTCCCCATTCATTTCTGCTATGAACAAATGATTTTAAGAATCTGACTCATTCTTAGTCTGAAGGAATTAAAAAAAAAAAAAGACTAATAATAAAAACAGCAACAACAAAAACAAAGCTCATGAAAGAGACAACGATGGATCTGTTTCCAGCCTAATCATGGGATCTTATGTGGCTGGGATAAAATATATTAACATATCGAAGGATAAATGACAATAAATGGAGTATTACTTCTCATAGGAAAAAAAGGGGAGAAGAAGGTATAGGTAAAGAGAAAAAAACAGAAAGGCAATCTCTTGGTGTTTCAATAAGCTCATGGTAAAAGAAGTTAATTTTATCTGTTAATATAGTTGCCAATTAGAGATTATAATGATCCTCCTGGGTAGATCTGGGGATTCAGAACTTCATTAATCCAAAATAAAGTTGGGTAAATTCTCACATGTCTTCATAGAAAAGGAGCATGCACTTTTCTGAATAGAACCTATATCCTGTACTCTTAATCCTACCCAAAAGAAGACAGATAACACAAGGGATATCATCCATCTTCATAAGCTTTGACCCCTCTGAAGTTTTAGTTACAACAAAGTATTATGCTGAAAAATGGCAAATGGGTTGTGCCAGATTCACCTTAAATATATTCTATTACTTTGGGTTTTCTGTAACTGTTGTTGGCTGCAATATTAAACATAGTAATAACCTTCACTTCACTCACTGTGGAATGGATTAGTGAAGTCAGTAGTAGACATAAAACTAAGTGTGCTTAGAAACATGCAGGCAAAATCAGAAGTATCCAAAATGCCCAACTCTTGGAGTTCTAGATGCACTAAATTAACTAAATAAGAAGATGCGATGATTTACGTCCTTGGGATACCTAGGGGCTCTCTGTCCTCCTAAGCATCCAATCCCCATACACTCTCTTCCAAACCTAAAGCTCCACAGAAAATAATTTTGAGGCATGGTACAGGCTAGAAAAAGAGGAAAGTATGTTGGATAAGCAGTAAGTGATATGTTGGGAGGACAGCATAGCCATGATTCTACCTTAGACCCATTGGAAAGGGAAAGAGAGAGAGAGAGAGAGTCATTCTTCTCCATCTCAGCTTTAGAGACATTTAGAAAAAAATTTTTAAGTCTTCCACACCAGATTCATAGTGTCTGGCACTAAAGATAGTGATCTTGCATACTGTTAAAAGTTGTGAAAGATGGAAGGTCATTTGGAAAACCACATTGGTTTAAATTGCCACATTAACATTGTTCTTAGTCTCTTTTCATGTTCTTGTTGGTTTTTATTTTAATTTATCTCAAACATTAGTAAGAACTGTTTTAGAAACATGTGCATGAGAATGAGTTCATTTGCCCCAAGCCCCATTTTGTTAGACTGACTGAAGAGTAAACAACCTTCTAAATATAAGAATTCATACACAGGGACTACCCTGAAAGCTGAGCAAACCTTGTCAAATTCATATACATTCGTATTAAATCCTTAATGACATCCAGTTGTACATTTCATACAGCAACCAGTATGAGAATTTGAACAAAGAGTGAAATCAATTCTTCAACAGAAAGTGATGATATCCTCAAGAGAGAATGACCTTATGAACAGTAATGTCATAATGTCACTAGAAAGAGGCCTATGTACGTGACTAATGAGATTAAAATGTAATGATCGCACTTCTCAAACATACTGAGAAATCTAAAAATTGCACCATGAGATCTTCAAATAGATGTTTCCTAAATAACTTACATGGATCCGACACTCACCTACATAGACTGAATTTTGGGGAAAAACAAACAAACAAACAAACAAACAAAGCCCAAAAAACCAAACTAGTTATCTTATTCTGTTTAAAAGTGTGTGTGTGTGTGTGTGTGTGTGTGTGTTTTTAAATCAGAAATTGAGTTTTTTCATGCCACCAGCCTCCCACATTCATTTGCATCTGTATCAGTGGTTCTATTACCAAGTATTTCGACTCCTAGAGACACATCTGACTTGCACTGTTAAATTATAATATTGTGAAGACCAGAATACTCTGAGGTGAAATTATTAAGGCCCAACTGGTTCACACAGAGCTCCGACCTCTATTCAGAAATACCTCATGTTTTCTACATTTGAGCAAATCCATTTAGGATAACAAAAGGAAAACAGAGTAAGGAAAACAAAGCAAGTTGACTCTCCAACAGTCTCCCATTGCATCAGTCTCTCTTTGGGGTCCCAAAGGAGTAAAGTTGCAATTCATCCAAAGGAATGAATATTTTTTAAATTGAGAAATGGACTGATAGAAAGAACTTTTGGATAGCACAGAAAATGACTTTTATGAGACCTTTATTATCATTATCTATTGGCCCAAGCACAGATCCTATTCCTTAGCTACCACACTTATATTTTCCTTAAGCCATAATCAATACAGCACAGGAGTTAAGACCATGGGCTTTGGAGACAAATTTGGCTTTGAGTTCTAACATTAGCATTTAGCAGCTGTGTGATCTTATGCAAGCGACCTGGCCTCAGTTTCCCCATTTCCCAATCTACTGTAGGACCTGTGTAGAAAAATAAGAGGTAGAATATACATAAAACCTAGGATATGAAAAACATTCATGTTTTAAAAACTATTATTAATGTGGGTCAGTTCTTTCCTAATGATCTAAGGGAAGCGCAAAGATTCCAGGGTGTACTCCCATGACCCCAGAACTTTCTCAGACCTCCATTCAAAACATGACCATATTCCATCTGGTCCCACAAAGATTATCTTCTAAAGATCAACGAGCCATAGAAAATGAAACATCTTAAATATCCCCTAAATCTCCTAGCTGTTGCTTTTTATATTTCTGAGTCTTCTAAAATATACTTAGCTAACCCCATTTCCAAAACAAAGTGGGTTTCTAAAACCACTGAAAGTAAAAGAGCAATTCAGGCATTGACAGATGCGATTTCTTGGTCCCGCCACAGATAATGATGATATACTGCTGCTAAGTTGAGGAAGAGTGTCTTAAAGGTTCTGGCAATTTGCACCAGGCTGGCAGAAAATGTTTTTTTACAGGTAGCCTAAAAATACCATCTGAAATGTTGTCAAGCACATGGACATGCTAATAGGAATACTGTAACAACACTCGTCTGAGCAAAATTAATGCCAGAGGTATATTTTACATTTTGTTTTGAGTCCTAGAATAAAAGAAAAAAAAAACACACATTTTCTTTATTGCTTTGTTGACACTAAAAAATGAGACC